CAAAATGTGGCTCCTGGCAATGAAAATGGGGAGTCCCCGGTTTTCCACGGCACCCCCCGGATCCTGCCCAGACCCCCCTGGGGAATCAGGATGCTGTCTTTTGACCCCACTAGAAACATATCAGTCTTCGCTGTTAAATAACAGGGTAAGTAGAAGGCGGTGGTTGGTCACGATCTCGGTCGGTTTGGTATCAGTACCCCGTGGGAGTCGCGTAGGCCAGTAGTGCATTTGTCCATATGAACCTTGCAAGTGCCGTTGCTTTTCGCCAATGTAGTGCATGGAGGTATCTGATCCACCCAAGCACCCACTGGTTATTCTCGTAAATAAAATCGTCGAAGACCCTTCTCACGTATAGCAACCTTACCAAAACTACTTGAAATGCGGCAGATCTTCTTTGTGGTGTTCATACCAGGTATCGTAGTTGACCTGGGCGTTGTAATAAGAAGGTAGTCCAATCGTTATGCAGCTGGGTTGTAGCATGGCAACGTCGACGAAACAAACGTCTAGGCAGTGCATCGCAGCATCCCGGACATCCCTGTTTCTAAGATCAACAAAGGAGCGTTTGTCGAGGTTTCCCCTGAGGACGAAACTCGGCTGAAGGCTAGCTGCGATATACCTCCACTTCCTCCACATCATTCCAACATGTTCACCTTGTTGTGACGTCCATAGCACAAGGTGGTGATTATGGAGAATACAGCTGCGTAGGATTCAGCAGGTAACCCCGCAAGAAATCCGATGACAGCATCCTCTTCATCATCGCTTTCCGTGTCGGAGCCAAGGGGTACGTCGGTGCAACACGCACCACAGCCAAGCCCTTTAAGGCCATCTCCGCAGTCATCGCTACCTTCTTCGACTATCTTGGGTATCCTGCGTGGTTTGATGCCCGCTTCTTTGTCTGCGTTCTGTTGTCTTTCTGTTTGATTCGAGCATCGGTCGGCAGTGATGTCTGTTGTTCAATCTGTTGCGCATCATCAGGTGAACTGGGTGTCGGAAATTCGGGAATAGAGGGGAGCACGCGGCCGCGCTCAATCGACGGGGGAAGGAGACGATCGTCATCGACGATCGCAACTCGCCTTGGGCGTGGACGTGGGTTCCAGTGTCCGATGAGAGCCGGTTCGGGCTGTCCCCAGTAAAATCGAATACGAACGTTGGTCACGCCATTCGGTAACGGCGCATTGTAGTTGTACCCGATGGGCTGGTCCTGGATACTGATGTCTTGCACGCTCGCAGTTTGTCATCCAGGTTCATCGTTACCCGTCTGACGACATGGCCCCACTCAGGGACAGTCTTTGGAGACTGAACGTAAGTTCGGATTCCGTTATCCACTCGTGCGTGGATGCTAAGGTGTACAGCACTTTCGTGATTTCTCTGCGTCTTTGTGTAAACCTGCTTGATCAAGCAATCTTGCGGTCATGATAGCTATCGTCTTGTTACGCCATTCGGCCTTCTGAGCCCCTTGTCCATACCAGTCCAAGGCATGCTCTGCAAGCGGTGCAGGTACCCCTGCTGTTTTACACGTGCACCTCCACAAGTAGGTCGGGATGCGCGCGCAAGTAGTTGCCACTTGCAGATATGATCCGCTAGACAACTGACTAGAACGGTCGCATTTCAGCCCGAAATGGCAGAATCGCACACGCATGACCTGCAAGTCAAGATCTCCAATGGCGTCTCGTATAGGACCCTGTTTCCAGAAGTATCCTGGTGACACCACAAGCACAATAGTCACACGCAGAGCCCGAGCCCTAGTCATCAACTTTCGGAAGCGTTGATAGCGTGGTCCTGCCCGCTTTCCAGGCAGTCTCACGTACCAATCAGCAGGTGTTGCCACCCATAACAGTTGGTAATCTCCCGGGAGTAAGGCGCCCAACTACTGTGCACCAGTGAAGGTCATGACCTCTGCATGTGAAATACGGTCAGACATATAACCACGGGCTCGGAGTTAAGCGCAAGCTGTCCGTATATCCTCCATGACAAATGTGCGAGACTGATAACGATGCGATAAGCACTCTTTTTCTGCAGCGGCCACACAGCCGGGTCCACTGCTATCCGTGGCAGCCGCGCAGCCGGGCTTGCCACTGCCCCTGGCGCGCACAGCCGGCGCGTGAGAAAAGAATGCAGGTTTCCCCGCACTTGATGACAGCACCTGAATGTTCGGCCTGTCTGAGCATGCGCGGGCGGCCGTGGCACGCGCCTGCCGTGACTCATTTGTCGATGGGTGCGCCAAAATGCCCGTGCCGTGCTGCGCTGCACAGCCGCTGCTGGAAGTGACCATATCCAACTTCTCAGCGGCATCATCCACTTCCGCAGGCGCACCTGCCTGTGCATCCGGCGGTCCTCGTAAATGGCCTGATATACCTTCGCCTGCAGGTTGCGCATGGCGAAGTCCTGATCGGCCGAGGTAGGGTTGATCCCGAAGGACGTTTTCCTGCAATGCCAGGTCTTCAAGGTGTTTTCCACCAAAGACTGGATCGTGAAAGCGAACGTCTCCTCGTTGATGGAGAAGCCGATGCCCTCGGTATCCTGTGACATCACATATGCACGGGCATCACTCACAGCAGGTGCCCCCGCGGCTGGCTCTGGATCAGATGCCTCTTTGACAAGTAGCGGGTCATCCTCGCATCGAGGATTGGCCAATTGTAAACGACATCGACCCTTTATCCTCAGTTGCGGCCCCGTACTCGTCAACCTTGAGTGCCAGATGTCCAGAAGGCGTCTTCGTCAGACCAAGCACTCTGGCACCCTTTCCAATTAGAAGCTCGCACATCTCAGAGCCAGGGATGATCATCTTCTCGCGCCCCTGCCCCAGGACCAGGATGGCCCTCATATTGGACATGCTCCTCAAACCCAGAAATGCACGGAGGTTCTCCCCTGAACCCTCAGCCACGTTTGCTGAGTAGGTATCAAGTCTCGGCACAGCAGGTGCCCCCGCCGGCCCCCCCCCCTTCCTTGCACGGCCCCACTCCCGACAGAGCCTCTTCGTCAGGTTCAGCCTCTTGCTGGCGCGTCCGTGGGAACGGGATACATGTTCGAATGTCTGTGCCGTCTTTAAACCAATGATGTTGCTGCCATCCATCCACCATGGTTCCACCGTTTGCTGCCAATGTTGTCAGCATGCCATCCACCATGGTTCCAATTTGTGCTGCCAGAGACAAACCTGGCACTCCAGACAGCGTCTCCGAATTCATGGCGGTCTCCAAACCTGGCACTTCAGACAGCGTCGTACCATACATGCCCCTGCGGCGCCTCTGCTCCAACTCCCAGTATAATGCCACTGCGCACGCTCACCAGGCTCTCTGTCCTGCGCTGACTGCGCGGACGCGTGTCTCGCCCGTGCGGCATGTAGGCACGTGGAGACTGAAGCCACTGAGCGCTCCTGTCGGTGGCTCTGTCCATACGCCTCAACCACATGTCGTTGACCAGCATCGCTGCAGGTGCGGTTGCAGCAGGTGTCCCTGCATTGCTGGCGGCCTCCGCAATTAGTGGCATGGGCACATCCACAGCAGGCGCGGTGGCCTCCGTCGCCTGCCCCGCGTTGGCTGATGACGCAGATTGCCCCGCTGGTGTTGTTGCAGGGGCTGCCGTGTTGTTCATCGTCATCGCCGTGAAGCGGTTGAGCTCTTCGCGAAGGTCCCTGAGTTCGTCAGCCCCTCGGAATCTCTCCTTGACGACCATGCATGCTGATCTCCAGCAAGGGCACAATGAAACTCAGCTGTGATTAGACCAACGCCTCTGCAGATGGCGCAGGGTGCCTCCGTTGCGGCACCCTCCATATTGCCAGCCAACTGTCTGTTCACATGAGCATGTGCACTTCGGCCCCAGCACTGTGCATGGAATATGTAGCCACACTGAGGCCTCCAGACCTTGTCGGGATGCATGAAGTGATCCAGGAATTTGGCACACTTATAAAAGTCACCGTCGCTGATGATTGGCGGCGTTGGCGATGGCCTGTACGCGTCTGGCGCTCCTGAGTGGTTTCGCCAGATTCACATCGAATCGGCGGGGCCGACGATAGCGGCATTGCTGCCAGGCCTGGGGCCTGCTGCTGCACATCTGAATCCACAGGGGCGGCCAAATATCCATAATGAGGAATCTGGCCTGGCACACCTGACGCGTAACCAGAGCCGCGCGTCAAATGAGACTGGTAGAAGTCGTCGGCCGTCGCTCGTACACACGGGCTTTCCAGCTGCGCTCCCACGAGAGGATTACCACTCACCTGAGCGCGATAGTCAGAATACAAAGGGAAGTCCATCGGCGCTGCTGCGGGGCGTTCTGCAGCTGTCGGATCGCAGGTAGGATGCCAAAAAAATCTGGCGCGTATCCAAACCGATTGGGGTTGTCCGGTGATGGATTCGGATCCGGAACATACTCCCAAGGTGGCGTCCAGTTGGCGCTAGGGAGTTCGATGCCGTCCCAGCGCATGCTCTGAGCGGCTTCGCGCATCTGCCGGTACGTCCACTCTTGCTGACCAACTAAGCTCTCGGTCCTCTGCGCAGCGTGGTGATCAGGAAAAGCAGGTTGCCCCGCATGTGGACGCGGCGATGCGAATGGCGAAGTCGCCTGCAAAGCCGGGTAGACCTGCGGGTCCATCCGAATGCTTTGGAGCCTTGCCTGCAAGCCATTGGTGCTCCCAGTACTCTGTGGAGTCCCAAATTGAGTAGCGTCTCTGCTCATAGGTGCGAACGACGCAGGTTGCCCTGCAGGCACTGGCAGCTGCTGCACCTGAGGCGCATAGCGCGTCGGTGGGAGTAATACCACTTGAAGTCATACCTATCACGTCCGCACTTCGAGCCTGAATCCAAGATCCATCAGATCCCCCTGCAGGTGCCCCCGCTTGATACATGTCCTGTAGCATGAACAATGTCGAGAACACTGTCAAGTGCCGGTCGCAAGGGACAGGGCGTCGCATCCCGCGGCTCCTCCACCTGGCGCGGCAGCCAGTACACCCCGCGGTGCTTCTCCAAGTTCACCGCGTTAGGGAATCAAAAATCCCGCCAGAGGTCCGGAGATGCCTCGCTGGGCAGCATCACCTGGTGACCCGTGCCGAACAGGAACCAGTTGCCCTGGCCCGCCACCTCCCCGACGCTCACGATCGGGAACTTCACCTCGGCCTCGTTGCACCTCGCCATGACCTGCCGGCCGTCCTGCAGCCCGAAGCGGGACTGCTTCCCACTGTCGCCGATGACCAGGTCGTCCGTCGTCGTTTCGAGCCGCGCTGGGCCCACTGCCGGGCCCCCCTCGGCTGCCGAGTCGAATCGTCGCGGGAACGCGCTCGCCCCAGCGCAGGTGTCGATCATGAGGTACTGCGCGTCCGTCCGCGTCGCTGCCAGCACTGGGACGGGTCTGTCCGCGTCGCGGCCTGGCACGGCCGGCGCGCTGCCGCTGCCTGCTGCGGCATTTGGCAGGGCGCCTAGAAGACGAAAGACGCGTGCTGGCTCTGCAGCAGCGCCGACAACGGCAGTCATGGCGGTGGCTGGACTGGCGGCGGCGGCGGAACCCCCGAAGTGGGTGCGCTCAGTCTGCCCTCCTGGAGTCGCGTCGAGCGGCCCCCGCCTGTTCTCCGCCGCGGCGAGGTCTCGCTGTCTCTTCCTGCAGTCGGCCTTCACGTGGCCTCTCTTCCTGCAGTAGAGCAATTCCTTCTCGCTGTTCGGGTTATTCCCACCGTCGGCCTTGCCTCCCTTGTCCTTGCCTTTCCTGCCGGCGCCCTTCGGACCCCTGCCCCCTTTCGGCCCCCCCCTTCGGGGCCCTTGCCTCCCCGCGGGATGGCTCCGAGCTGCGTGGTCGTCGGCCGCGAGTCGACGTACTGCTGGGTCCGGGCGATATCCAGGATATCCTCGCGCACCTTGGGCCACGCGTCGAGGCCGGCGCTGTTCCGAATCAAGTGCTCATTGACCCTGGGGCCCTCCATGCCCAGCAGAACCACGCCGATCTTCTCGTCGTCGTCGATCTTCTTGCTAGACTGGCTGCGAGAGCGCTGGGAATGTCCCCCGTGAACCTATAAACCATCGCCTGCATGCGAAGACCTACGAACTGGCTCCTCCGCTTCAGCCCCCACTCCAGCACGAACTGGCGCCACGCCTCGAAGCCCTCCTTCACCCCCGCATTGTGGCACTTGTCCAGCGCCGACCCGGATGTGGTCATCACGAGGATGTAATACAGCTGCGTGCTGAGCCTGGCGACGTCCGACTCCATCCTGGCGTTCCGTATCGTGACCTGCGACTGCTCTGCCTCCATCAGCTTGCCCTGGTACCTGTGGTCCACGGCGCCGAGGTAGGACTTCATCTTGAAAGCTCCAGTCCGCGAACTTCGTCACGTCGCCCGCGAACTCGCCCGGTTCGCCGATCCTTCTGGTATCGACCACCCCGCTCGGAGGGGGCGCAGGCTCCACGCGAGGCGCTTGCCTGGCCGGCTGGAGCTCGTGTTGGAGCTGCTGCCTCTCGCCCTGGAGATGGTGCACGACGTTCCCCTGTGCTTGCAGCCGGGCGTTGAGCGCCTCCATGGAGGCGCGCAGCTCCTCCATGGTGCCAGGGTGAGGGGCTACCCGCTACCCGCTACCCGGTGCTGTGTCGCGCGCCTCGGCGCGGGGCCGCCTGCAGCCCGAGGCGCCAGCCTGCGCGCCGAACCACGCCGCACGCGGGCCGCAGCCCTGGTGGTGGATCGCTGCCCGCGCTTGGTGGGCGATGTGGCGATCAGGACTGCCGAGCCGTGTTACCAAGGCTCCGCTACCATGACGTGATGTTTTCCTGCTATGAGCCAAACGCCAGTCGCGTCGCGAATGTACTCAAGCTGACTGCTGCTAGATTTCGGGCGTACCGCACTGCAACGCTTGCACATCTTACGGAAGGCCTTATCCCACGTTATGGGATAAGCCATGTCTCAACCGCACTGCAACGCTTGCACATCATACGAAAGGCCTTATCCCACTTTGTGGGATAAGCCATGTCTCAACCGGCTGGGGGGTCCCACCGCTTGCGTCAGTGTCTGTATTAAGCATGTGGGGTCGACACCCCCCCGCCTAATTCCTGCCCCCCCTAATTCCTACGGCTATGCCGATGCCTACCCCCTAAATCCTATGCCTACGCCTATGCCTATGCTTGCTTGCTTGCTTGCCTGCTTGCTTGCTTGCACGCTTGCTTGCGCGCTTGCGCGTTTGCTTGCACGTTTGCTTGCTTGCTGAGTTGCGGTTTCCAAGCATGCTTGATTCCTCTGATTCCTTGACTTGAGTCGTCCAATCTATTTGGAGTCAACGCTGGCTGATATTTGTGTTACGCTCTGAGAATATGAATCGCGTCTATAGGTTCGTTTCTCGCAGACCCCTTCATCAACTATGTGTTGCGGCTGTTTTGTTCGAGGGCTGGTCGAACGAACGGGGCAACAAGAGAGAAGATAGGAAAACACTGGGAGGGAGGCGGAGCAGGAGAGATGGGGGAGGGGAGGACGAGGAGAGGGAGGAGAGCGGAAGGGAGCAAAGAGGAGAGATCCGAAGCAGGAGCAGGAGGCACGAGGGACAAGACGAGGAGGCGCTCCGGGAGGCAGGCCCCGGGTGCCCTGCCGCCTCCCGCGTCGCTCGCGCACCCGCGAGCGGGCCTTGCCGCGCCAACGCCAGGCACGCGCCGGAGACTGCCATGCGGGGGAGCCCTGGAGGAGCAGGCCGCGCGGGGCACGGCCACGCTGGCGACAAGCGCCCAGACGCAGAAGGGCACGCCAAAGTTGAGGCGCCTGTGCTGGAGGCGCACGTCGAGCACGAGCCCACGGTGCAGACGTAGTGTAGCACACCTCGGTAGACGGGCAGGCATGACCCGAAAGCGCCCGCCACCGAGCACACAGTACAAGAGGCCGGAATGCGCGCGTCGCCCTCGGAGGGCCGACGCACACACAGTACAAGTATGTTTGGGTGAGGCCGGCCAAGGGCGGGCCCAGGATGAAGCAGAAAAAGGACGCAGGAGTGAGGTCGATCGGTCGCGGCACTGCAGCAGTCTTCGCGCCGCTCTGCTTAAAGCTCTCACCCCGAGAGCCAGGGGGATGACTCGTATTCCGACTGGCACCCCTTCAGCGAGGAGGGTGCAGCCAGCCCTGAGGACCGAAAGAGTGAGAAGTGAAGAGGGAGGAGGGAGGAGGGAGGAGAGGGAGGAGGAAAGAGGGAAAGAACGAGCAAGGGGGAGGGAGGGGGAGAGGGGGAAGGGAGGAAGAAGAGGGAGCAGCAGGATGAGAGAAGAGGATTGAGGCGCGCAAGCCGACGATGGTATTAACAAAAATTGGAGTATGGTCAGAATCCAGCATCGCACAACAGCGTGATTTAAGCCAAGATGGCTCCTAAGACTGTTCGCGCGTCCTTCAGCTCCTGATCGGCCTGCGCCTGTGGCCTCCTCCTCCTCCTACTCTTGCTGCTCCTCCTCCTCCTCCTCCTCCTCCTCCTCCTCCTCCTCCTCCTCCTCCTCCTCCTGCTCATCCTGCTCCTCCGCCGCCGCAGCATATCTCCGAATCCGCGTCGTCATTCTCCTTCACGCCCTCGCCCTCCCCCCTTCCACCACACCTCAACCTCGCCCTACTCCCCCTCCAAATCTCTCCCGCTCCTCCTTGTCGTCATCTTCATCCTCATCCTCATCCTTTCCCTCCTCCTCTCCTCATCTCTTCCCTCCTCGTCCAACTCCTCACACGAGCATCCTCATCATCCTGGTGTTAGTATCGCACTCCGCGGGCGGCATCGCGGAGCCCAGAGTTGCGAGATGTTCTCAGGCGAAACGCGCTGGACCACCTCGCATGCAGCATCTCAAAGCCCAGAGTCGCGAGGACATCTCACCAGAGTTGCGAGGATGTCTCAGGCAGCGCCCAGACCCCTCCCCGAGCAAGATTCGACAACTGAAGTGGAATCAAATGGTTCGGTGGGTCTGACCCCTCCTCCCTCCTCCCTCCTCTTCATCGGAAGCCGCCGTCCCGGCTCGAGGAATTTGTGGGTGCTGTACCAAGTACGGCGAGATTCCTCACACGGGACGGCTGCCATACGCGCTCGCCCGCTCAGCAGCAGGGCCAGCCGTGCAGCCACGAGTGAGTCTACCACGGCTCGCACCAAGGACCCAGCCTGGCATAGAAGGCTACGAAAAGAGAGAAACCGTGCGCGAGCATTGCTACAGGTAGCAGCGGCAGCCGAATTGCTTCAGCAACATCATAGCCGACAGCCAGATCACCAGATGACGAAAGGTCGATCCAGAGGTGACAGCAGGGGGCGCTCTGATCGAGAGCCCAAATCCCCGCCATGGAAGACCGTCACCAAGTACAAGCGCCTGTGGGAATGTCCCGCCTGTGCGCACCACAATGCATGGACGGCCCAGGTTTGCGCCAAGTGCCACCCGAGCCAAGCTCAGGAGTGGAGAGAACGACGTGGACGTGACAGATCCGCCTCTCGCCCGCGCGGCCAGCGCCGCGCCGCCACCTCGCAGCCCCCACAGCGAGGAACAGCAGGCTCAGTGGCAAAGCAGACCGAAGGAGGGCCCTCAGATGACATTATCCCGATCATGCCAGCATCTCCAGAGTTCGCTCACGCACATCGACGATGGCGCGAACCCCCACAAGATCCCCAGCAGCTCGGAGATTTCAGAAAGGCGTTAGCAGCAACAATGGAATCCATCGAACGCCAGTTGCACTGTGCAGCCGCGCTCAACCTCGACCAGGAACAGGTGAGCCGCATGCAGGAAGAGTACAGCGTCCTTCTATACCAGATGATGCATTCCAGGTCTCCCCAGGCCAGAATCACAAAGCAGCGTATGTTCGTCGGCCGCTGCAAGAAGCGCCTCATGGACGCCCAGGCAAAGATGCACTTACTCCAAGAGCAGTTAGAGGCGGCCGACACACAATGCCAAGTTCTCACAGATGAACTCGCACAAGCAGAACAGTTGTTGGAACATATTGAAGATTTGGACGATGAACAACCAATCGCAGGCAACATCGCCGTTCCTGACGATGATGATGACGAACTCATGATGGACGGACCGCTCGCGCAGACGAGCTTCCGCCCAGGGCAGAGAGGAACAACCAGCAAGGCACCATGGTCGACAGCCAGTTCCTCACCGTTCACGACGCCGCCCAGGACAGCGACAGTGCAGCGCACGACAGCTACTCCTGCCGCGACCTCGAGTACGCCTGCTCAAGCCGCAGCAGTTGGAGGCCAGGAGACACCGCGCTCCCAGGCCGCCCCGCCCAATTCGCAGGTACCACCTGGAGGGCCCACTGCAGCGGTCATGGGTAATGAAGTCAGCATGCCAGCACTAGTGGCAGCAATACAGCAATCCAACGCACAGATGTTGCACAACATGTCATCGTTCCAGCAGACTGTGGCCACTCTCCAGACTGAGATTGCCAACATCAGGACCGAGAAGAAATCCGACATGGAGACCATCACCGCCGCCGCCATCGATGCGGCCAAGACCGCAGTCGCCATGCAGACCCCCAAGAAGGACAAGGACAAGCCAGTGCCAGCGGAGATCCAGAAGGCCAACCGAGCCAAGCTGGAGGCGGCCCTGCTTGGCCGCCGAGCTACACGTTCAGTCTCCCCTCGACGGCACACGGACAGTGGACAGGCGGGGGCCAAAGTCCTACGAGCTGACCGAGAGGGTGGAGGAGCCCTGGGCGCAGGTGCAGGAGAAGTGGCAAACCGTGAGGCAGCAGAGGAAGCGGCAGCCAGAGCTGCCGCCGAGGACAGTGACCATGCCGCCTTGCAGTCGCATGCGAGTGTTGCCCAGGCTATTGCTTTTCCGCCAGCCAGCGCATCACCTCCGAGCCCAGTTTTTCGCTAAAGGCCGTGTCAGAAGCGTATCGGCCTTCGAATTTAACATCTCCCATCCATCCAGGTTTTTCTCCCCGCCTGCATGAATATTCTCCATCACGACAGGAAAAGCAGCATGCCCCATGTATGGAGCACGACAACAGAGAGCATGTGACCGCATCAGTGCAGGGTATCTCGGTTTCTCCCATCCCACACTACTCGGACACTGCATCTCTCTTGGAACGGAAATGGCCAGTGCAGCTCTCGACAGACATCCTGAGTTGGGCCCAATATTGGCACTCGTCTACTATTCAGGCTTTTGCCAATCTCATACCCCTTCCCATGGGCATGCCCATCGAAGAAATTCAAGTTTACACAGATGCCACTGCAGGGGGTTATCGATATGAAGGCAACAGGTGTCAACCGGCTTGGGCCTTCTGCGTACTTGCACTCACTGCCATGGGGGTTTCTCTGATAGGACATCTTGCAGGGCCACTCAGAGGCTGGGACGCTTCGGACACTTGTGCGTCTCTACGAGCAGAGCTGGAGGCGGCCATTTGGGCCAGCGCCTGGCTGCTGCAAGCGCCCGTGCATCTGCGCCAGGCCACAGTCAGCTTTCACACTGACAACATGGACGTGCTCAGAGTATACAAGGGAGGATACGTGCAGGGCACCCTCCAACCGTCTCCTGGATTGTCTCATCCAGGCCATACGAATGTGCGTGCACAATGTCGTTTTTGAGCATGTGCATGGACACGCAG